TTCCACAAGGCATTACAACATAGTTACTTGACCTTATTCTCTTATACAGCTTCACCTTAGTCATTTAATAGCACAGAATAAAGGACGGACATACATCACAAGCATATATGAGGGTCGGGTTGTTACACTCTCCCCCTCTTAAAAAAGTTTGGTCCCTCAAACTTGCTTTTACCTCAAAATGGAAACAGATGTGGATGTTGTTGCTGCATATCCTCCTCTTTTTCCCAAGTAGCTTCAGTGCCATAATGTTCTTGCCACTCTACCTTTACCATTGGAATTTCCCGATTGCGCAATTGTTTTACTTGTCGCTCCAAAATTCGAAGTGGTCTTTCTTCATAGCTTAACTTATCATCTAGCACAAGTTGGTGATAGTCTATGACATGAGATGGATCTGATAGGTATCCTCGAAGCATAGAAACATGAAACACATTATGTATTTGACTCATACTCGGCGGAAGAGCCACTCGGTAAGCTACCAAACCCACTCTTTCTAGAATTTGGAAAGGGCCAACATACCGGGGCGTTAATTTACCCTTTTTCCCAAATCTCGGATGTCCCTTTAACGGGGTGACTTTCACGAACACATAACTACCCACTTCAAATTCCAAATCCCTTCGTCTGTTGTCTGCATAGCTCTTCTGCCTGCTTTGTGCCGTTTTTAACCTCTCCCGGATAATTTTAACCTTTTCAGTTGTTAATTGCACAATTTCAGGACCCAACAATGTCCTATCCCCAACTTCAGCCCAACATACAGGGGAACGACACGATCTTCCATACAGAGCTTCATAAGGTGCCATCTCAATGCTCGAATGGTAACTGTTATTGTAGGCGAACTCTATCAACGGTAGATGGGTTTCCCAGCTTTCTTGAAAATCCAATACACACAGTCGGAGCATATCTTCTAAAGTTTGTATGGTTCTCTCGGATTGACCATCAGTTTGAGGGTGAAAAGCGGTGCTGAACGCAAGTTCAGTACCCATAGCCTCCTGTAAACTTTGCCAAAATCTTGAAACAAATTTGGGGTCCCTATCTGACACAATTGATACTGGAACACCATGAAGCCTTACAATTTCATTTATATACAGTACTGCCAGCTTATCCGCATTATATTGAGTCTTCACAGGCAAGAAGTGAGCAGACTTGGTTAACCGGTCCACAATGACCCAAATTGAATTCATACCTCGAGGGGTTCTCGGTAATCCCACCATGAAATCCATGGTCAAATGCTCCCATTTCCATTCCGGAATTGGAAGGGGTTGTAATAATCCTGCTGGTCTTTGATGTTCCGCTTTAACTTGTTGACATTGTAGGCACTTAGAAACAAATTCTGCGATCTCCTTTTTCATATTTGGCCACCAAAAATTTTGTTTTAAGTCTCGATACATTTTAGTACTTCCCGGGTGTATTGATAATCTCGAGGCATGTGCTTCTCCTAGCAATTCCCGTTTAAGCTCCAACACATTGGGGACACATATTCGACCTTGAAACTTTAATGCCGAATCTATATAACTGAATCCCGATTTTGGTTTTGCCTCTAACTCTTCATAGATTTTCCTTAAGGTTTCATCTTCTAGTTGATGTAACTTAATCTCTTCCAGCAAGGTGGGTTGAGCTCTTACTACTGCTAGTACGGCCTCCTGTTCACGTACCACCAGGTCCATATTCATTTTATCCAGTTCGTTCCTCAACTCCTTTCTTTCTACCAACAAATTTGCCAAGTCTCCCATATTCTTCCGACTAAGTGCATCTGCCACCATGTTGGCTTTACCAGGATGATATTGGATCTGCAAGTCATAATCCTTAATCAACTCAAGCCACCGCCGTTGTCGCATGTTCAACTCTTTCTGGGTAAACAGGTACTTGAGGCATTTATGATCAGTGTAAACTTTGCAGGTTGTACCATAAAGATAGTGCCGCTATATTTTTAAAGCAAAAACTACTGCCGCTAATTCGAGATCGTGTGTGGGATAATTCTTCTCGTGGGGTTTCAGTTGCCGAGAAGCATAGGCAATAACTCTTCCATTTTTCATTAGCACACAACCAAGCCCCGTGTGCGAAGCATCACTGTAAATTACGAATCCTTCGGTACCAGATGGCAACGCCAGAACTAGTGTTGTCGTCAATCTTGTTTTTAATTCTTGGAAAGCAGATTCCCGTTCCTCTGACCATTCGAATGCAACTCCCTTTCGTGTCAGTTGGGTAAGTGGCACAGCGATTTTGGAGAAATTTTGAACAAACCTCCTGTAATATCCAGCTAATCCCATGAAACTTCGTATCTCTGTTACATTAGTGGGAGTTGGCCAATTCACAATTGCTTCAACTTTGTGGGGATCAACAGAGACTCCTTCCTTTGTCACCACATGCCCCAAAAATGCCACTTCTTGTAGCCAAAATTCACATTTCTTTAACTTTGCATACAGTCTCTTCTCCCGGAGTGTTTGAAGGATTAAGCGAAGATGATCCTCATGAGCTTCTGCACTCTTCGAGTATATAAGAATGTCATCAATAAAAACCACCACAAATTCGTCTAGATAGGGCTTGAAGACGCGATTCATTAGATCCATAAATGCTGCTGGTGCGTTGGTAACCCCGAAAGGCATAACCAAAAATTCATAATGGCCGTACCGGGTTCGGAAAGCTGTCTTCTCCACATCATCGGCTTTAACTTTCAATTGATGGTAGCCAGACCGCAAATCAATTTTTGAGAAAACTTGTGCCCCTTGTAACTGATCAAATAAGTCATCTATCCGTGGTAAGGGGTACTTATTTTTAATTGTCACCTTATTCAGTTCCCTATAGTCGATACATAACCGAAGAGTTCTGTCCTTCTTTTTCACAAACAATACTGGCGCACCCCTAGGAGATACACACGGGCGGATAAATCCCTTGTCAAGCAGATCCTGTAATTGAATCTTCAACTCTTTCATTTCAGCTGGTGACATCCTATAGGGTGTCTTCAAAATGGGTTGGGTTCCAGGCGCCACTTCAATTATAAACTCGATTTCTCGGTCTATTAGTTGGCCCGGCAATTCTTCGGGAAAAACATTCAGAAATTCACGAACCACTGGGATCACATCAATATTTCCATTCATCTCTTGCCCTTCTAAAACGCTACATAGATACCCCTGACAGCCTTTTCGTATTAAGTTGCAAGCCTTCACGGCAGATATCAAATAAGGTGGAGAAATCACTTCCTGCCCTTGAACCATAGACTCTGATTGTCCCGGAGGATAGAAATTAATTTGCTTAGTCACACAGTTTATAGTTGCACCATAAGCACTTAGCCAATCCATTCCCAAAATAACATCAAAATAGGTCATATCGAGAGGCACTAAATTAGCATACACCCGAATATCCCCAAGTTGAAGTTCACAAGCTAAGTATATAGTAGCACAAATCATAGACTCTCCCAAAGGGGAGGACACACACAACATGCAAGATAAGTTTTCTTCAGTTTTATCTAAATTAGGAGCGAAGAATTTCGACACAAATGAGTGAGTGGAGCCAGAGTCAAACAATACATGCGCAGATTGACCACAAATAGTAAATGTACCTGACACCACTGTTGCTGTATTTTGTGCATCACCTGGAATCAAAGCGAACACCCTACCTTGTCTTGCAGTGTCTTTGTTATTACTCGGTTTGGCAGCCATCTTCGCATTGGGGGTTAGTGTAGACCCCGCGGAACTTGTAGCGGGTCTATTGCCTTTTTGTTGAACCAATTGTGGGCAATCTCTTACCAAATGTCCCGTTTTCCCACATTTAAAACATGCTCCAGTCTTCCAGTGACAAGTTCCTCGATGTTGCCTTCCACAGTCTGGACACACCGGAGTGGAATTTTGGGTCGTAGTAGTGGTGCCGAAGTTTCCTGAATTATGCTTCTTAGCGGGTGGAGTAACGGATCTCTTTGACCATTGGTTGTTTTTTCTTTTCCCTTTCCACTCGGAAATCCGATTCTGGGCCGCAAGATTTCCTTCTGCGATAACAGCCCTTTCTAGCACCTCAACATACGTGGGTAATTTTAGCATATTGACCCGGTCCAAAATGGCACCCCGTAGTCCCCCTTCAAATTTTCGTGCCTTCTTATAGTCTGTATCTACCATATGAGGGGCAAACCGAGCTAATTCAGCAAATTGGGCCTCATATTCTGCAACAGTCTTATTTCCTTGTCTAAGAGTCTCAAATTCCGTCACCTTCTTATCTCGCATGCTTTGAGGAAAATACTTATCATAGAACAGCTCTAGAAATCTATTCCATGTGAAGTCCCGATGCACGGTTCTTGTAAGCATCCACCATCTTCGCGCCTCATCTTCAAGAGTAAAGGCGGCAAGTTGCACTTTCTGGGCTTCAGTACATGGAAATACTTCAAACAATTTCTCTATTCCCAGCACCCATGCTTCAGCTTTCATAGGTTCTATCCCCCCCTTAAATGACGGTGGTTTCATCTTTTTAAACTCCTTTGTGAGTGTGATGGTTCGGTCCTCAACATGAACATCTTGTACTACAGGTGGAGGTACTAGTGGTGGTGGCGGTTGTTGCTGTTGTTGCCTTAGGGTCTCCGCCATGTCCATAATCATTCTTTCCATTCGGTCCAACCGTGCCGAGGTAGCCTCGTCCGAATCTTCCATCCTTGTTCTCACCATAACCTACATAACATTCAATTATATTCGGCAAACAAAGTTCAAATTGTTAGCGTTAGCAGAATGCATTCTACGTTGCCATCGATCTTTCATACATTTTTAGGATGCCATGCATGATGCTTAAGGCTTTTCTAGACATCCTAAGGCTCAATGGATCTGTGTGTGGGATAGCAACTCGTGCTCTGATACCACTTGTCACGCCCCTAACTTGCCCCTAAAAGTTTGGGCATGACCTAAACAGAAAATGACACTTAACCTGGTTCCATAGAGGGGCCTGCCCGGAAGCTATAAAACATAATTGATAAAAACCAGAAAGTATGACATCCATTGAGCTACTAAGTCATGCCAGGATCAAAAACATTTCACAGGACAAGTACATCAAAAGCCAAAATACATTTAAGAGTTAGTTATTTACAGGCATATACAAAACTAACCCCAAGATGGGGTATATAACAAAATCATTAAGTACATAACAACTTAAGCCAATAGCAAAAGTGTGAGTCATCATCTAACAACTCCACAAAAGTAGGGTCCCGACCCCAAGCTTGGCTGTGCCTAGGCTGACTAAAGTATGACGATGCTGAGCGAAGATCGACCACCTGGTTGATTACCTACAGAAACAGACATAACATAGGGTGAGCCAAGCTCAGTGAACAATAGTACTAGTATGCTTGTAAACATATTTAATGCTGAAATCATGTAATTAGTCTGTCTCTGTACGACTTGTTGGGACAACATAATGGGTTTATAATTGTCGTAATGTGGCCCCTGGCCTAAAACTTCACATATTCAGAAAAGAGTCCTTGGGTTCATAATTTACAATTCATCACATAGACCTTTGGTTCTTTTGTTTCACAAGCTTACAATAGTATAAGTTCATATTTCACACATCGGTCCTTGACCTCATAAATTCATCATTCACACACGGCCCTTGGCCACATTGGTTCACAATTCACAAATGACCCTTGGTCACGTAGTTTCACATTAGGGCTCGTAGCCACATTGACTCACAAATGGCTCTAAGCCACATTGATTCATAAATGGCTCTAAGCCACATTGGTTCACAAATGGCTCTAAGCCACATTGATTCATAAATGGCTCTAAGCCACATTGGTTCACAAATGGCTCTAAGCCACATTGATTCATAAATGGCTCTAAGCCACATTGGTTCACAAATGGCTCTAAGCCACATTGATTCATAAATGGCTCTAAGCCACATTGGTTCACAAATGGCTCTAAGCCACATTGATTCATAAATGGCTCTAAGCCACATTGGTTCACAAATGGCTCTAAGCCACATTGATTCATAAATGGCTCTAAGCCACATTGGTTCACAAATGGCTCTAAGCCACATTGATTCATAAAATAAAAATAAATACTGAGTAGGGATACATTGAAGTACTATCACTCACTGTGTTGTGGCGGTGCACTTCCTTTTGAGGTGTTTCCTACACATATGAAAAATCACATTAGTCCCTTTTTATCCTTGTTAAATCAACATTCGGTTCACTTACTTTGATTAAATTAACGAACTTTCAAACAATATAAATTGCAGGTTTCGACAACATTAGAGGGCCCAACACGCAAAACGGAGCATCCCAACTTTTCTTCCTTGAGCCGCACGTGCGGCTAGGATCTCCCGCACGTGCGGCACACCTCCCGCACGTACGGCATTGAGGCCCCGCACGTGCTTTTTTTACAGTGTCGAAGTCCGAAATTTTGCCATTTTCCCGCACGTGCGGCAGTGACTCCGGCATGTGCGGCTGAGGTTCCCGCACGTGCGGCCTTAGGCCCCGCACGTGCGGCGATTCTGCACCAAAACTCCGAAATTCTGCACAATATCCTCCTCTTGTAGACATGGTTAGGGCCTCAAAAATCTAGTTTTAAATTACCAATATATAAGCTCAAAGCATGTAAATACATGTGAACAAGGATCAAATTACATCTTTCATTTGAGTAAAAAAAAATCAAATCATAAATTCACAACTTAAATTTACTCCAATTCACAAGATTTCTACTTGTTCTCACATCTCAACTCATAACACAAATTTATATCACATACTTGAATTCAAACAAGTCAAGTGAAGACATAGAGTGAGGTCTCTCGTAGGGACTTCAAATTAAGTCAAAACATGCAAGGTAAGGTCATTTTGCTCATTTACTTTTCATACTCACAACACCACAATTCCAACTCTTAGGAACAAGATCATAGAAACATCTTCACATAAATTATGACAAGAAGAGTTGTGGATAGAAATTAGACAAACATGTACATACCTTACGCCCAAATCTCAACCTTCTTGAGGATCTTCTTTCTCTATCCCTTCACTTCTCAAGTCTAGAGTGATGAGTTCTCTCTCTTTTTTTTTTTGTTTGTCAAATGACCAAGATCATATATATGTACATCTATAAGGAGAGAATAAGACCAAAATCTATCGTTTACATGTCCGAAATTGAAATTTCACAGAAGTGCTTAATATTACCTAAAAATTATGCTGATTCCAAATATATGATCAATTTTGATTTATTAAGCTGCTAAGGCCCTCAATTTCTACTTTATCATTCGAGTAGTAACAGATACATTTCTTTCCTAACAGATACAATTCATTCCACAAGGCATTACAACATAGTTACTTGACCTTATTCTCTTATACAGCTTCACCTTAGTCATTTAATAGCACAGAATAAAGGACGGACATGCATCACAAGCATATATGAGGGTCGGGTTGTTACAATGCATGTTAAGGCTAATGAGAAAATTGCAAGACAAGCGTATGATGCATGTAAGAGGCTATCAAACCAACTTAAAATAGAAGTATAACATGACCAAATAACACCAAATACTTGCTGAAATGAAGCCAAAACATGCTAAGCAAACATGCTACCATTGTGAGCCACTAATACAAGCATATGAGACACAAGGAGAGGGGGGTGTCCCTCTCCTATTCAAGACTCCAAAACCACTTATCTACCACTGAAAATCCTTTGGATTTCAGTGGTGAGAAGGTCAAAACAAGAAGGTTCCAAAGCCCAAAAAGAAGGGTACAAAATAAGGCCAAACAAGGCCTACGAGGGGGTAGACCACCCCCAACCAAAAAGTGACCTTAAACAATCATCTCAAGCATGCAAAATCAAAATTTTTTTCAGTTTAGTGTTAAGCTTAAAACAATATGCAAGTAGGTCTAAAAGCTTAAACAAGAATGGGGGATTAAAAGGTTAAGAGCTCACCCTTGTAGAACCTTTTCAAGAACACACCTCCAGTAGGTTTTCTGAGTTCAAACTAACCCAAGAACACCAAAACCAACTCCTAAGGATCTCAGCAACCAAAGAAAGGTGTATTACTAGGTGTTATAGTGCAAAAGTGAAGACAAAACACCCTTTTAGGCACAAACACACACAAATATAGAGAGAAAGGAAGAAATGTAGAGAGAGATATATCTTTTCTATCTCAATTTTTTTGAACCTCTGAGAAGGAAGGAGGAGCTCCCTTCTTATAGGAATTCAATTCCAAAGCTTCTTGGAGAACCTAGAACAAGGTGCAAATCTCTCCATACACGTATATGGAGGATGGGAATTATGCCCACCAGCTGTCACAGCTGGCAGAAAATATCTGCAAAAAGCAGATAGAAAGGTCTCGGCTCAAAAATATGGCCGATCGACCGAACAAGTGCTGATCGACCAAAAAGAGTGTCGATCGGCCACCACTTTTGGCCGATGGCAGGGAAACACGGTCGATGGCACAATGCCTTAGCCGATGGGTTGAGGGGATGGTCAACAAGCCACCATCTTCCATTAGAAGCAAAAGCACAAGTCCTTGGTCCACAACCAAGCACAAAACAGACAAGTTAAGAGATCCTAAGGCAAAGTGCGCAGCCGAGACCTTCGGGAACTCAAAACAAACACGAACATGGGTGATCATCGAGTGTTCAAACGATGACGTCCAAGTCTTCAGGACGGTCAAAAATGGGGTGTCTACAGATAGTTAATTTTGTTTTCACAGATAGGAGTTAGAGGGACCACGTCATAATGTATAAAAACAAATACTTTCATGTACCTATTATTATACTATTAACTTTGGTTATTACACATATTATTGGGGTTGTTGGTGGTTTGTAGTGCTTGTTGGCTTGTTATGGTAAAATTGTTACATGCGAAACGAGGCGTAAATTGTTTTCATTCAGGACTGGACATATCGATCACATAAGTACAAACAAACTGAGACATCAAATTAATTACTATGGAAGTACAGTAAGTACATTACTTAGGATAACAAGGGCCAAACCAGCAAATCTACCTGTATATCAAAGGGATTGGTTTTCTAATACCATTTTCAACGGGGAACTACTAATCCCATCTATGAAGGGTATCATAATCCCAACGTATTCCGAATCCACAAATATGGTGTTCTTGCTACGACAGTGGTTACTGGGGTTGTTTGGGGTGTCTTAAATAAGTGCACTTCTTGAATTTTTTGGACTAAAAAGTTTAGGAAAAAAATATAGTTGTTTGGGTTAACTTTTAACTTTTTTCGAAAAAATGTGAATCGTTCAATATGTAGAGCTCGTCGAGTACTACATGCCTATGAAAAATCACGTTGATCGGATATCGATAGCTATCTAATCGGATTAGTTTTCTTTCAACCGTTAACTATAACACCATATAGTTAGCGATATCCGATCAACTAGATGTTTTACAAACATATAGTACTCGATGAATTCTACACATTGAATGGTTAAGATTATCAAAACAGGACCTGTAACAAGCTCCCACAAACCAAATATCACTGTCCTGTGTAATCTTGTTATGTACCCATGTGTAATTTGTACCGAGGCAGACCAATCACTGTGTCATACATTATGACTTGTACTTTGCATCAATAAATTTATGTTTTTTATATTTTTAATTTGTGTATAGTGATAACTCATATAGTTAGCGATATCCGATCAACTAGATGTTTTACAAACATATAGTACTCGATGAGTTCTACACATTGAACGGTTAAGATTATCAAACAGGACCTGTAACAAGCTCCCACGAACCGAACATCACTGTCCTGTGTAATCTTGTTATGCACCCAAGTGTAATTTGTACCGAGGCAGACCAATAACTGTGTCATACATTATGACTTTTACTTTGCATCAATAAATTCATGTTTTTTATATTTTTAACTTGTGTATAGTGATAACTTTTTAGCTTTTTTAGTAACTTTTTGACTTTTTGTCTTCTTAAAGACATGCCAAACCAGCCCTAAACCATGACAATATTATTTTTAGTCCCATCACTACTAGTCCCCTGACTAATAATTCCCTCAGTAACATTCCCACCCCTTATAGTTACCTGTACTAATATTGCCCTCTCGCTACAACATTTGTTGTGGGTTTAATGTTCTCTCACTGCCTGCGTCATGACTAAAGTGGAGCCTGTCTTGGAGGGGGGAAGTTCGCAAGTTCGAGTCTGCTAACTCGAATCGGACAACATGACACTATGTTCATCTTTGCAATGGGCGTTGCATTGCACATGCGGGATAGTTGAAGGATTTTGCCGTTATAAAAAATAGACAGGAACTTGTTTGGCAAAAGTGCATATACATGTAACATACGCATAGCTAAAAATTTTGTAGGATTTTTTTTCTCAAAAAAAGCATTACAAAATTAACAAAAATATAAAACAATAAAAAAAATGTGAATACATTTTGTTGGGGTTGTCGTGCGTATTCCTTTATTTCTTCAACGGACTTATGGCATGTAAATTACTTCGTACATACATTTAAGTAAGATGCATCTGCAAATGTAAAACCCAAACTACAGTCTTGCTAAAATTATCGAAAAACAGAATAATACAAAAAGCGGGAAACTCAATTTTAAAAATAATTAAACCCAAACACATATACAACGGTGTCGGACTAGTTACACGTTATTACTGCAACATGGGCATTGCACCAGAAACAAATAAACGAAACGGCCTCATTTTCACTTATTCGTCCCCTTTCACCATGTTCAGTATACCCAGCTCTGAGCATTTGTGGGTGTCACGCGGCCGGCCTCCTTGCCTCTATGCTATCGCCTTTTCCGTTCGATAATCTCCTTTCGGTGCCGGGGTCCGGATCCCCTCCTTGTAACGGCTGAGATCAGCCGTTGCATATCCAACGACCATAAAAAAAATAAAAAATAAAATAAACAAATTGAAATTTTCATTTTTCAGCTCTGCTATACAGGTTATACAGAGTATACACCTCAATCTCACCCTCCCTCACTCTCACATTCACTCCTCCTCCACCGAACCCAGCCTAACCGGCGACCACTCCTGACAGCGACCGACTCGTAAACCCAACCCACCATTGTAGCCCTCATTTTCTTTGCTTCGTCAACCATAGCACCACCGTGACCACCATTGGCTGGAGTGAAGGAATTTGTTGAGGAGAACGTGGGTTTTCAAGCCATAGATGAACCAGGTTCGTCCTCGAAACACTGAAATCAAAAGTAAGGGTTGTGATTGAAAAAATAGATTTGAAATTTGAAAATTAGGGCTTTCAAAATTACTCACTCAAAATTGCGGCTTCAAAAATTAGGGCTTTGAAAATTACTCTTATGT